TGGTCCGAATCACATACCTCGGATCGTCACCTAGGGTTGAATGATATGTTTCACCGACTGAGCTAACGCAAATACCCTACACTATGATACGATATCACAGTTGCAATACACCTATATCTTAATAACAGTAAATACAAATTCATCGTGACAAAATGTAATTTATTCTGCGTTCGGTACAGCGTTATGATTGGCCGTTTGACTTCCGTGTTTCACAGAAATCCACGGCGTAATTGAAGTAAGACAACACTCATTTTAGACGACCAGTTAAGTGTTACATATAAGAGCTTATTAGTCATCTATTTTGACAAGCGGATTAAGTAGTGGTCGTGCACATCTCTTGGCGATGACAAAGTGTTTTTATTATTATTTATATGTAGAAGGTAAACCCCATCTGACCTGTCATCATTCACCAACTGAATTATACCTGATATGGCCAATCGGAAGACTGCTTTCCGACGTTGCTGATCTGCCAATAGAAAATGACGTCCGTAAGGAACTGAATCATTCATCTGTGACCAGAATTACATTCACATCTATAATAAATCTAGACAGCTGACAGTTAATAGTTATACATGTACTTATAATTAAGATATCATTTCTTATTATTGCTTTGTCTATATTATCAAGTAATTTTCCCTTGGATGATAGCAACCTTAAACTCATAATAATCTGAATGGTTGGTGTAATGCTATTTATGTTTGTATGAAGCGACCTGCAAAGCGATGACGTAACGCCACAATGACGTCACAGTAACATCTTATGATCTCGATTGTGTTTTAACACTGAGTGAGTAAAAGGACATAATGTAAATTCTAAAACAATGGATATATAAAGCATTTTTTTCAGTAGACAATTTTCTTGATCTTCAATCCGACATACTCATGATTTCTGACGCTAGCCCAAAGATGGCGGTCATCTTTCCTGTTGGTCGGCATCAGCATCGGAGAAAATTTATCAAAACAGCATACTAGGGAATACTATGATGATGATGATGATGATGATCTTTTTGACAAATCCCGATTCACTTTTCTCTGCTTCCAGTGAGTTTGAAGATAGACCTAATGTCAGAATGTTGATAAAGACAATAACCGCTACAGCTGGTGATATTCTCAATCCTTGGATCAACTCCAGTTATTAATATCACAACTAAATGAACTTATATTACATGGTATTGTCTCCTACCTTTACTGGATAATTCTATAGACAATGAAACATAAATCCCAACCTTCATTTGAAAGATACATACTGACAAATTCGGATGAGTTACCTGTCATGATATCATGTCGATACCTCTCCCCGATTCTGTTGTACATTTACCATTCTTAGACAGATATGATTAATTAGGGTATACACACCAAGAATAAATATTTTAAAAACAAATTTGACTGATTATCCATGCAAACAAACATATTAAGTCTTTTCATATGACGGGAAAGAGGACGGAACTTCATGTACAGCTATTGAAGACATTCCGCGACGCGCATGCGCGGATTTCTCGCTCCAGGTGAACGACATTTTTTTTTTACTAAAAATTACGTAGAGGCAGTTTAGAGAAAAAATATATATCGTTTTGTAGATAAAAATTCCAAAATGTATGCCCCTGATCAGTGGATTTAACATTTCTTCGTTACAAATACATAATTTTAGATGAAAAGCAGTTGTGTCATTTTTTAGTTGAAACTTACACATGAATCTCTTTCAAAGTCTTACCAAATTTTGAACAAAACGACTATTTTGACAACGTCTATGTGAGAAAAAGCAATACAACGAAAAAATCTCCAAATGTATGTCTCTGGCTATCAAGTATAGTAACTTTCCAACACATTCATACAACTTTGACAAACTTTAATTAAAAATTAGTTGTGTCATTTTTAGACAGGCCTTTTTTAATCCCGCTCTCCATCCATCCTGTCAGAAATAACTTGTGAATGAATGACCAATTACAAATTTACTATTAAAAGGATTGTTAAATGTGGTAATTTCCGAATTTCATCATTGTTAGAATGTGTCAAGCATTGAAGTAAACCCCGAATTATCAAGTGGTACCTTTCCCTTCCCAATCCGGAAAAATAGAGACATTTAGATCTCAGATTCAAAATTATAAATAGGCATTTTGCATTGATCACACGGGATGCTATTGAGAGTTTAAGTGCTACGGATTTACAAATACTTCACTCGATATCGTCGTGAATAGCTCAAATCCGCTTTTTGTTTTTAAAAAAAACTAAAGTAAACAAAAAGGATTGGTCACAAAAGTTAGCGAGATTTAAAAAAAAAAAGACTTTGGCCATTGACTGCTATTTGTAAATGTTAGTCATAAATCTTAATGAAAAATAAAATGTACGAGTTCAATAAAATCAAGATTTTCTCTGTACTGCTACTCCCAATCCATGCTTGCACTTCTGGTTTGGGATTACACTATTGAAGACATATAATTTTGAATAAAGTTTGGGGATTAGGTGTGAATAGATGATGATGAGGCAAAACAATAATAATAATAAACAGCTCTGTTGTTGATCAGTGTATGATGTGATAATGAGGATGAAAGGTTGATGATGAAGTGGTGATGATGATATGATGATTACGATGCTGAATATATGTTACTGCTGATGGTGATATGATAGTGATGATGATGATGATGATGATGATGGTGATGATATGGTGATGATCATGATAATGAAGTGATGATGATACGATGATCATGATGATAACTATGTGATGATGATGATGATGATGATGATGATGACAGCAGTCATTGAGTTTGTATTATTATTGGGGCTTGTGAATGAAACACAGTAGTACATTGTATGTCATGTCAGCAAAGAGGAAAGAGTAGGAAATAATGAGTGCATGTTTTGAGTGAGTGTACATGGGTGTAGTGTGATGTGTGTCAGAGTGTGTATGTGTATGTGAGTCTAGTATATATCGTGTGTTGCATACCTTTGGAAATTATTGAAAAACAAAATAAAAAAAAATTGCTCTGTACTATGTATTTGAAATGGATTAAAGCATGGTCATAGCAGAGGAAAAACGCCTTTTTTTAAATGCTTTGGTTAATTGTTGTCCTTTTCTTTAGCATAATGGGTTACTTTAAGATATAGTTAACGGTAGATGTTGTTGATCAATTCCGATCCAAATCCTTGATAAAGAGTTTTCAGCTGTTATCTTAAAATTTGAATTGCTACAGTAATAAACAATTGATCTGTTCAAATGTTTTTTTTCAAATTCTGGATCTTCTCGTAGTTTTATTTGTTTAACCCAATCCTGGTGTGTCTTTTTAGTGTATTAACGCTGCTGACAAAATCAGCCGATTTCTTCGTATATCGACTGTAGTAATGTGTGAAATCATATAGGACATTGAGTCAGACGATGAGAAATCAGCTCGTGAACGAAATGGCCATAGTTCACACCTGTCAAATTAAATCACAGAGTTTCTCAGTTGGGGTTTACTGGCGCGTCCTTGGAAATAACTGACCATATGCACGCACATGAAAAAATGTTATGTTTTTATTCAATAGATACTGTTGAACTGAATGGTAACACTCTGATTTTCAAAATAATTACTGAAGGTGGTTATTTTTTGTTTGTGATTTTGAACATGGATGGTAATGCTTTCACGGATTCAAATTCGATGTAAGTGCGTAACCTCTATGTAGATGATGATGATGATGATGATGAAGGTTTTCTCGTCACCGTGACTCTGTCTGTCGCCGGGCATTGTTCAATCCACGTGTGTCGATTCTCTGGCGATCCTCATGGGTTGGAGTCGTCTGGGGGTTGACTGTTCTGTAATTTGGAGACGATCCCCTGGTCTGAAGGTAATCTTGTGGTGATGTGTCTGGACTTCCGGCGGTGGAGGGGATTCATGTCTCCTTCCTGCCGAATCTCCATGCTGTCTTAACTATGATTATTAATTTTTTATAAGGGGAAATTTAGAAGTCCTTTCCTAACAGAAAAATGACATTAGTCCGAATGTTATGTTCCATTTGGGTTTATTCGTGCTCCTGGGCGGCGTTAAGCGCCTATTCTTATTATCGATAACCACAGGATCTTTTTTCGTGCGAGGTTGGGCAATTCTCACACAGGTCACCGTTTATAGTCCCGTCTGCCGGACTATGATTAGTTGTTGCTGGTGTGAAAATTACTACTGCTTAACCTACCGACCACACTGCAAGTAAACTTCTCTGTTTCCAAAATGTCCGACTTTCTGTAATTCCATTCTGTCCCTTCAACATACTTGGTTTCACCTTACCGACTTATGTCTATTTGTGCTTGTTTTTAAAACGGGTTAGTGATGCTTATGACGAGGTGTTATTATGTTGGAGTAGAAAGTGATAGTAAGTGTAAGATTATTCCAGATGGATAGTCGGATTCGATACTCAGTGTGGGGGTGGGGGTTTGATACTTTAGTGTTGTGTTCAGTCCTATATACCAATAGGACAACCCAAGAGAGATAACTCGGTACAAAATTAACTATATCTGTCGAGGAGCTTAGAGACTCAACTCGGAACATGATCGAAGATATTTATATCATTCAGCGTAAATAACACACAAAATTACACGTTTCACAACACCTTAGGTCCTTTTCAAGTATTTTACACTTCTGTTCGCTGTGCCGACTATATTTTCAAAGATATGTCCAATTGAAGTAGGTTTAAATAAAAAGTTCACATAAAACATATTACTTTCAATAAATGCTGTTTGATTTATCAACTGCAGTCAAATAAAACGATTTTCAGCTGAATAATATAAACATTTTGAATGTATCAGAATGTACTATTTATACAAGTTAATAATTAGTAGAGTAGACGTCGAGAGTAGGCACAACACGAAGCAGTTCCGGTCCAATTCACGATTTATTCGTGCCAAGAGTTAATGACATGTTTCGGATCCAAGCGATTCGTCATCAGAACCAAATAATTTTTTTTCTACTTTTTTAATAGTCTGCACTAGATGTTTGTCATAAGTACCTTTCCTTGAATTAACAACGAGATGCAAACTTTTTAAAAATGTATCTTTATTATTAGAGTACATCAGTTTCACATGATCTCGCACGCAACATACAATAATCTGACCACTCACACTCCTCGTCTTGATTGCCTGAGCAAACACCAGAATCATGTCCACAAATACACAGGTATTTCCCCTACCACCGACAAACATCTGGAAAGAATTCACAACCTTTCATACAAATATGCATTCTATCCTGCATTAAGTTGTTCATAATGTCCAAAGTCTTATTTCACATATGGAATGCTTGACATTATGGTCATATCATCAATTCAAAGGTTGAAAAACTGAGGATCAAATATAGCAACACTAAGGAAGGAAGGAAATGTAAATGCAGTCCAAATCTTGAATTACGATTCTTGACAGCTGCACTGTATGTTGTATTTTCAGCTTTAGTCAATATACATTTCTCAGCATTCCTTTAGAAATATTGCTGCTGTTTCAATACTTCTGATATTGTATTTGTGATAAATATTTCTTCATTTAAAATAACTTTTAAAATCAAAGTTTGAAAGTTCCAATCATCTAACTTTATGTACGTGCTCCTAATATTGGTTTTCTGTTTTATAAAGATAAAAGTTCAGATTCTTTTTTCAGTGACTGATCTGCTGCCAATAAAGGTAACAGGAGTTGCTTCCCTTGGTGAATTTATCCTCTTGTGTATTTTCCCCAGATGTGTAGCATGAATACAGATGCGATGAAAATCAGACTCATGACTAGAACAGGTACTGGTCCACTGCAAAATATGCAAACATATTGTTTCATGAATATTAACTCAAAACTTTGAAAATTAATAAAAATAAGTTAAGGAGCATGGGGATGGAGGTAAGGTGAGAGATTGATATAACCTAATATCTGTCTGTTGTGGGACAGCAATATCCCAACCATGCATGAAGAGTGCTTGCTCACCAAACTCATACACTTGGTTTTAGATGTCTCTGTCACACAATAGACCCATATTTTATTAGCTTTCTCACATACTTTAAGGATATACTCCTGTGATGTTTCATTCAGACATAATTTAATATAAAATGAATTCAAACATAACAACTTTGACTTTTGTCTTTTTATTTACTTTTTCATCTGTTGTACCTGCAATTTATATGACATTTGGAGAATTTTTTCTTGTGGACTAATTTTTTGACAATGTAGTTGGTGACCTCTGCCCTAGATTTTTAAGACCCGAAAACAAATATTTCAGCTGTTTTCCTTGAATAAACTAGTAATTTTGTTGAAAATTGCAAAAAATAATGTAAAGAAATCACTTCTTTTTTACCACAAAAATATCTTTAAAAAATCTAAATTGAAACTTAAAATCTTTCAAAAAACATTTATGCTGGGTAGAAGTTGCTAGAAGAACTAGAAGTTGGTCAAATAAAAGTTTTTATCATTTTGGCACATTTTCATTTTTTGGTCGCTATGCAGTTTAAACCTTACTAAATGAAATAAAATCTTAACATGTTCACACAATCTTTTTCTTAATATCCAAAAAGCATATCCTTACTTTGCAAAGAAAGCTGAAAAGTTATTTTTAAAAATGCTACCACAAAAAAACAAAACAGGCCAACAGGAAAAAAGTGGGAGTAATATATGGAAATGAGTTATTTCCCAGTTTACAAATTCTGATGTCTGTATCAGAAAGAGTAGTGCAGCAACATATTGATTTATTTGCATTTAATCTACTTTCTAATACAAAACCTTTCAAAAAATCATCAGAAAAAAGTTTAAAACTAGAATTTGTTTTACTTCTCAGAAGAGTACAACTTTAAAAAATATGTCATAAAATGTCCATCAAAACTGATGATCTTATCAATAAGCAACATGGTTACACTACATAAAATGATGACACTACTCTATCATGAAAGGTGACAAAACACATGTCAGTTGTTTTTCCCCACTTCACATCAGATTGATAGAATCTTTTACCCCATGGAGGCGAGATAGGTAGAGAAAGATGATTAAGTAAGCAAACAAGAGGCTTGCCAAGTGTTCACAATTATAAACATCTTTTTCCCATGGGTTTAGATTGTCCTATCTCATCAACAAGGTAGTAAATGGTTATTTTTCTCTAACCCTTCTCGGGAGGAATTACAGATTACACTACTCACAGGTCATCAGACTCAAAAAATCTGGAACCTACACTTTAATTCCTGGTGAATCTTCAGAATAAAATCTCCACATGCCAGCATTCCCTGTGCCACCTCCAGCTGTTGCCTTCCTAGCTCCTCCTGATGCTGGTGTTTTTCTGCCAGAAAAAAAAGTTTAGCTGATTAAAAAATGTGTTTTCTTTAATAAAATTTCACTGAAAAGATAAAGATATTGACTTTTGAAAATAAAAACACTCTATTGAGAGATTCATCTATGAAAGGGTTTATGAGATGTCTTGAACATAAAGCTTTTTATTTCAGATGTGGTCAACTGTGACATTTTACCTTTTACCTTCACTAATGTCCCCAAAAATCTCAGCAAATGTAAACATTTGTCAGGTGATCTAATGGTGTTAATATGAGCCAAATCTGTCCATTGGTTCACAAGATATGTTGTACACAAGAGCTATTACAAATGCACAAAGTGATTACAATATACTACACAATTACCCATGTGACGGGTTTGATAACAATAGATGTTAAATACCAGACTATGAATGTTTTTTCAATATACAAAAAATACCAAAATTTTCTCCCTAAAATATCTACATATATATATCTTTAATCTTATTTTTTTTTTTCATTTTTGTCAAGCCAAATTCAAAGTTTGACACAAGTTTAAAAAAACATCTCATATGAAATAATAAACAAGTGTAAAACATTTTTTAACATGTTACTCAGAAAAAATACATTTTAACCAATTTCGAAGTTGAAACATGAGGGACAAAATCAAAAGTAAAACAGCCATTTTATTTTTGCAAATTGCCATTCTGAATTAATAATGAAATGTTCTTGTCCATATTATGATACCATAATTAACTTGTGACTCCTGCAGCCAACAGAAAATACACTAGTGACATAAATGAAAAATTTCTTATGGAAAAAATCACTGGATACCATATGGACAACAGTGGTTAACAAACATAAGCTCTTTTAAGTCTTTATAATTAAAGTTAGTTTTGATTTGAAACACTGACATACGACACTGATAAACTTTTTAATATTTTGGTTGGGTTTAGTAAACTATTCTGTTCTATCTGTTACTTCTTATAGAATATTTTTTCTAATTATGTTTGATATCCTGACAGAGAGTACAATAACAAAAGACATTCCGTTCTAACACCAATCAAATGCAACCATCAGATTTCTGGATAGAGTTGCTGATGGATTGATTTGAATACATTATCTAATTCGCCATAAATAATAGAATTGTACATTAAACTTTACAGTTTTCAAATACAAGAAACAGAAATAATTGACAGAAAACCCTATTTTCGTTTGCATACTGGTACATTTATACTCCATAAATTGATTACAATCAATATTGTGGTATAGAATCTACAAATTCATTGCATCATCAGGCAACTTTTTAGAAATCATTTTTATAACATAACTTGACTACAAAAGAGAAAATTTTTCAAGAGATATTGAGATTTATCTTCGGAGAAGCAGTATTTGTCTTGTAGTTACCACTTAAGATTACAAGGGCAGTTGTTGATAGGAAAGAATGTATTCAATTTTCAGCAAATTAACATACTGAAATGTTTTCTTTTCTAAGCTTACATATGGGCAAAAGGGAAGACTGTTTTTATGCATAAAATCAAAAGTTTCCCATGTACAGCCTTAATTGGAGCAAATGAAAGATATACTTACATTGGCTGCATAAGTAAGGATATGTCTATAACAGTAGTACTACACTAATACACAAAGTGTAAATATACAATCTGTGTGGAGAACATAAAAGCAGCCCAGTCATTAGAGATTAGACCTACATAACCTCTGGTGAAGATCTAGACATGGTTTACCACTCAATTCCAAAAGGGTATTCTCAGCAAACTAAAAAATGGACTAGTCTCTGTCAATGCAGTTGTGCCCCTGAGAACAACACTTTATCTCATTTTCTATGGTCGGCATGCCATGCGTTTCATTTAATTACAGGGAGACCCTGTCTCAAAATGACTATGGCTGTTCCAGGAACAATAAACACAGAAGGCAAACAAATTGTATTTAATGTGTTGTGTTCATATACGCATGTATACATGCATTTATAATAACATTAACAGGGTTTTCCATAAGAGCCGGTCGCCGGCCAATTTGACAGGCTACTTTGATCATTTGGCCGTCTACACCAATCCAGTTCCGTAATAATGTTCTGTACACGACTACATGTACATGACAGGCCAGCCTCCTACTTTCACTACACAGCCTACTACTAGCAAAATTATGGAAAACCCTGCATTAAATAAAGAAGATTTAATCACCTTTGTCTGACAGTACCACTTCCAGCACTGGCCCTTGGTGAGACTGTCTTGGATGATGATGGGCTTCGGCTACCAGAGCCTACACGAGTGGCACTTGCTGGGGTGGGCTGAAAGATTTTAAAAACATTTACAGTTAACTTTTAACGTATATTGTTAAACAAGAAATGAAAGCAATGGTGAAATAGAATGCATTTATCATTATCATTAACCTCGACAACACCTAACATAAAAGGAGAAAAAAAATTTCATGTGCAGAAAAATACCACATTTGATAATTTCATATTCAGACTTTCTATCTCTTGTTTCTATCTTTGTAAAGCTTGCTCAAAATCATTGCCTTAGATCTGCCCATGATATTGTATTATAGAATATTTAATTTGTCTCTGTTCTTGTCGTCTCAAAGTCAAGACTACAACCCTCAATATCCTTCTTATAGAATAAGAGTGCAATTATTCACAAGTCCTCTGCTTAAATCATATACCTGGTAATCCAATTTTACAAGTGAAGTACCATCCTTCAATTGGCATATAAATATATAAAGACATATTAAGGGCAAAGGTGTTTCTACTTATTTTAAATAGCTGTATTCTGAACTGTCTGAAGGATTTGTTATGTTTACATTACCAATGTATGGTTGATAAAATTTCATGTTTTATATGGGGTAGGAGTTATGACTGCCAATCATATCCAAGAAAAAAAAATAAAAATTGTGAATAAAATGGGCCCATTGAATTATATTTCTTGATACTTTAGAATTCAATTAATTTCATAGAATTTTTTCAGTCTAGTCCAAAAACATCATTTTCAAAATTTGTAAGGAGTTCTATTTCTAAGAAATATAGTAGGTCCTCAAAATCTGAGCAAGTCACACAGGAATATAAGGAGTCTATGACTCAAGTATCCAGGTCCAAAAGCAGTTGGATGCTGCCTATCTAAAAAGTGTCAAGAAGTGGCAACATCTGATGTTGTCAATCGTCTTCAAAAATGTGAGAGAAGTTACAGTATAAAATGTTTAAAAAAATGAACACCTAAGTCAAAAGAATGAGAACTGAGCATATCCCAGTCACATCAGATATTTTCTTTTTTATCACAGATCACACAAAACATATAAATCATCAAGAAAGTCGGTTGCCCTCTCTTGTATGTAATGTATACACTACCATATGCTTACAATTTGTATCACGTCGCACACTAATAAACATCAATGAAAATCAAATTGTATCCACCAAACACTAAACCAGAAGCCTAAAAATACGAAAATGAGTTTTTGGTGTTAAAAACGTGGCAGTCGAAAAACTAGTTTAGATATAACCATGAATGTAATAAGTGCCTTGCGTATTATACTCGATGAGTGCTTAACGCTCAGTTTTCGGCAAAAAAACATAATATGTTTTGAATATACTGATGAAGTTAATGTTAACATAAAATGTTGCTGGTATTTCTCTTACGGCTAATAAAGTTAAAATCACCATATATAAAAATTATGTCGCCTTACCATCTTGGGTTGCTTGTGCTGATGTGGAAAAGGAAATGTGACGTAGCAGGAAGTACAAAGGCGCCCTCTAGGAATTATAACTCATGGTCGTCAATGCGCTTCTAGTTATACATATATTACAAACACATTTAGGACGGCCGCCCCTAAGGGAACATGTCGAACAGCCTCTAGCCTCTACCTCGGCGTTGTCGCGATCAAGGACGCGATAAGATGGAAGGTTTATGTCAGTCCCTGTTTAATACAGATTGTATTTCTAGAAGACAGTTCGGATGATAACAGTAACCAGGCATGAAAAAGGAGGAATTATAATAAAAAATTATAATTAAAGATGATAGATCTGTGTACGAAAGCAATGGTTCATTTGGCATAAATAGAGATGAAAAAAACATGTTAAATAATGTTCGCAGATATTTTTTCAACTTCGTCTCGTTCGATTCGTGCTTCGATTGCTTGTCTGTATATATTTTATGCAATGTTTTAATGCGCATTCCCCAAGGAATTCGCCAACAACAAGGATGTGTCGTGTAAAAACAGTTTACGCCAGTGTTTAATGTTAGCAACTATGTTTTCAATGTGTACTGGGTCACAGATGCCAATTGGCAGTTGATTATTAAATAGTTCAATCATTAATATTGCTTATTAGCAATATGCTGAACCATACATGATTATATCATATTATGGGGCTTAAAAGGAGTGAATTTGTATTGAAATGAAATATACTACACACTTACACATGTATTATCCTCAAACAACTCTGGTTTTTCAAAGCCCTTGCTTGGGCTTGAATACAAGTCACTTTGAATTTCTTTATATAGTGTACAAGATTTACAAATGGTCGAATGAAAATAGTCATTGCATGTAGCACAAAGCTGGAAAATAAACAGCTGGTCGGGTATTAAGTAGAGACTTTCTTTTACAAGTAGCACGAAATAATAGCCTACAAAGGTTTCTCAACTTTTTTCACATTGTTACGAGGGTCTTTTTTATGATTTGAAAACAAACGGACAACTGGAATAGTAATTATTATATTGGTATTGGCAAATCGACTACATCATCTGAAAACAAAATTGTGACGTCCGCATACAGCTAAATAAAATAATTAACCAACTGTATTTGATAACTACAGTTATTTTTGTTTTGTTTTTGCAATTTTTGTTGTTGTACATAACACACACACGCGCGCTCTCTCTGACACACACATATATACACACACACATTCACATAGAATATGTGGATGATATCATCGTCACCTCCACCACCACCTTCATGATCATTTGCCTACGAAAGTTTATATATTTATGAAACCTCAAAATTAACTTTATCATTTAGTAAAGAACACTTGTCACACACTTTTACACAGAGACAGACAGAACAAACAGAACATAGATCATTAATTATAATTAGAAACAAATAACTACTACCAGAGAGAGAGAGAGGGAGGGGGGTTGGATGTTGGGGCAGGGGGTGGTTGGAATATTGTAAAAGATTTATAATTAAGAAAAAATATATGGGGTAGATCTTCAGAACTTCTTGTAAAATTGGTCAAATATTTCAATGCCTGGAAAAAAAGGAGAAAAAATGCACAAAAGCATGGCAAAGAAAAAAAATATATATAGATCAACTAGGTTTTCCCACTTCTTCCATTCATACTCAAATGATACTCGAGCACTTTCCCTGGTACTAATTGTTATATACTTATAGACATTATAATCATATTCTGTTTGTGTTAATTAGTGCATTTTTATTAAAGGAGCTATGAAGACCTCAAATCTTATAGATGTACTGTTTTGTTCTGATGAGTATTTCATAATCAATCCTGCTGGGTTTTTTTTTAATTTTTATATATTTTTGTTAAAATTCCAAAAAGATCTGATTCTTTATTGTAACTTATGGGCATAACAAGTGTGCATGATAAAATTTGAAAATTAAGAAGATTTTGAAACACTTGGTATTCCCTTAAAATATGTATAATAGTTTCAGTCTCAGAATTACGAGGCAGACACAGAAGGAATTTGTATTTTGTGCTTTTAGTGGTAACAAATGGGAGTTTGAAGATATGATGCCAAATGAAATTACTTAGGTAAGATAATTAATTAATTTTTTTCTGTCCTGTTGGTGCTAATTTGTTTTTAATTAGAATGTTTTAGAAGTGTTTCGTACCTCTTGGCTTTCTTAAAAATACTTTCAAGTTTATGGAAACAATAGGATATGTAATTTGGTTTTCATCAGAAAAAATGCATTAGAATTTGATTTCTGTACCAAAGAAAGAACACTATGATACTGGAGAAAATTTGTTTCTATTTTATGTGCTTCAGAAATTTCTTTGAAAGTAAAGAATGTGCCAGAATGGTAATCTTTTATCAAGTCATTTATAATTCTCACTCCATTTTCATACCAGTCCTTGATAAAAAATTATTTTCTATCAATGATAATTTTATTATTGCACCATATAGGCGTTTTCAAATAATCTGACTCTTAATTATACTGATGTCATTTGCAGCATGCAAATTCTTACAAGCTTTAAAAACATCAACCTAGAATCTATTTTTACATTTACTTTGATGTAACTTTATATAATTAGTTTCACAAGTAGCCAACAAATCTATGTTTACATGTGTTTATAAAATTACTTGTCACTTTGATACTTTGGAAAACTCTTGTAATCCGACCTAATTCGAGTGAATCTATAAAAGCCTAAACATTTGTCATTTTTATTTCAACTTCAATGTAGTCCTGAATTACAATATCCCTTTTAACTTTATCTCTTTTACTATTACATAAAAATTCATACGCTATGGATTTAACTGTAAAAAGATTTTTTTAGGATTTGGCAGCGAGATAAACAATTGATTAAACTGTGGAATTAGTAATGATTGAAGGATGTTGATTTTACCAGTTGGAGTCAATATTCTTCTATTCCATGTTCTGATGAGAGATTTAAGTTCAACCAGTTGCTTATCAAAGTTCAACCTGGTTATCTCGTGCAAATTGACATGAAATTCAATTCCAAGAAGTGAAAAACCTTGTTCTACCCCACTGTTTATTAAGATCTGGTATAAATTTCTCTGAACTGTCGATCCATACCATTTGAGGTTTTGAAATATTCATTTTTAATCCTGATATCTTTGCATGAGAGATGAGTTCTTTAATTGATTCTTGAGGAGACCTTTCTGCAAGTGATGTATCATCAGCATATTGAGACTGAAGTATTGGACAGTTTTCAATATTAATACCGTTAATTTTGTCGTTACTTCTTAACCTAACAGCCCAAATTTCAGCACACAGAATACAGATATATTGTGCAATAGGGTCACCTTGATGGAAACCTCTTCTTATTAGAAAAAAATGGAGACAAATTTCCACCCTGATTAATAGCAGCACTAGCATTATTATGTAATATTTTAACCTATGTTATTATCCTACTTCCATACCCAAAAAATTGTAAACTTTTTCAATAAATAACTAAGAGACTAAGTCAGAGGCATTTTCAAAGTCAACCATCAAAAACATACCTAGAGTATCATTTTCTTATGTAAACTGCATAACATCATAGACAAGTCTATTCTTTTCCCCTATGTAACGGCCCTCTAGGAACTCACTGTCGTCTTTATCAATTATTTTATCCAAAACTGTCTAAAAGTTGACATGCTATTGTACCAGAAGCTATTTTGTAAACAACATTTAGCAGTGATATGGGTCTCCAAATTTTAATGAATTGTCTTGATTTATCCCCATTTGGAATACAAAAATAATGCCTTGTCATTGTAAAATAGAAAAAACGTACCAGTTCTATGACCCAAATTTATCGACCGAACAACAAAATTTACTGCGCCAGTGATGGCCATGTGACATTTCTTCCGGATCCCGCTACCCGGTATCCGTGCCATGCTATTAGTCGTTGCTTGTCTGTTTCCTGTCTCAATAAAGGTTACTACGTCCCTACTTACTGGTGCTGTTGCGACATATGTATCATTGTATTTCAATACTGGCGTGGTGGCAGCGATTACGGACTCACAAGCCTACTGAAAAGTGCAGTTACTCAAGCTTAAGTGAATCGCTTACCCATTCTAAACTGTTACACAGTGTCACATCGTAGTGAAGTCTACTGTGGATAGCTCCGGTACACATAGGGACGTGATAGTAATCATGGCGACTACACATAGGGCGCCAAAGCAGTGGTGTTTGACCAAAATTGAGTCAGTGAATTCTTTTGAGAACTGGAGACAGAATTTATTGTATACATTGTCTTTGGACACAAACTTTGCACCATTCCTAGTCGATGGCGCCCGCTGGGAAAAAAATCCCGTACATCGCCATATCGGGGTTTCGTGGATGATGACGATACTGTCGCCGCGGCGAATCGTCGTACACGTGAACAGAAAGTAAACATGCTGGAGTTGATGCTGGGCCAGATAGCCAACTACTGCCCCGTGATTTCACGTAACACAATTGTTAAAAAACTCTACATCTACTGACCAGATTTGGCAATCTATTCGCCTTCACTACGGCTTCCAATCAACTGGTGCTCATTTCAACGATTTCTCATCAATAAAGTTAGAAGTGAACGAGCGCCCGGAAGATCTGTACCAACGTCTTATGGCGTTTGTCGAGGATAACCTCTTACGACGAGATTCCGGTATCACACATCACGGAGGTGCCATTGATGAGGACGAGGAAATGTCGCCTTCGCTCGAAAATTTTATTGTACTCACGTGGCTTCGCCTTATTAACCCAGACTTACCGAAACTTGTCAAGCAACGGTATGGTACTGATTTGAGGGCTCGCACCCTCGCTTCAATTAAGCCTGAGATTTCGCAGGCTCTTGACTCCCTTTGTGAGGAATTACAATCTTGCGAAGATGCCAAAGCAATGAGAGCAGCCGTGCACACTCCAAAAAGGTATCCTAATCCGACTCCTACAACCGTGAGAAATAGGCGAGTTTGTCCTCTCTGCAAAGAAGCGCGTCGTCCAGACAGCCATTTCCTCAGCAAGTGTCCCTTTTTACCCCAACAAGACAAATCATTC